GCCGTTCGCCAGCGCCCTGCTGTATTCGAACGATAAACTGCACTTTTTGCAGGAGAGGGGCAGCGGAACAACGAACGTGAGCCTGTTTTTGTCCCCCCTTGACGGAGGAGCTGAAGACAATCACGTCCGTCTTGGGCACTTGGGCGGAGCTGGACTCCGTCTTCTCCGGGTTGTCTGTGCCCACGGCCGGCCTGGTTGGATTCCTGTCCGCTGCGTCGGGTGATGCAACGTGGGTCGACGCCTACCGCTGCCTGAACGCAGTTGTGACGAATGCAAAGAAGGTCTACAATGGCTTTGAGTTCACTGGGGCCGAGTCCTACGCCTTCTGGCCTGTGAACATGTGGGACTATGGTAACGTGTACGGCTTTGTGAATTACGCGTTCACGCTTGTGGCGACGGTGCTCATCCATCAGGCTCCGAAAGGGAGCGCGCCCCTGCTGTTTGCTGGCCGGGAGGACGATGACAGCATTAAGTTCGTGGGGCTGGCGTACACGGCGGAGATGAAGTGGGAGACGGTCTTCAACGGCACGGCGGCCGCACCCAACGGCAGTTGGGAGCCGGGGAAGCACTACCAAGTGGCGCTCGTGCTGCAGGGCAACAAGGGCTCCGTGTACGTGGACGGCGAGCTCGTGGGGAGCTCCGAAGCGCTGCCAACACTCGAGGCACGGAATTACGAAATCTCACACTTCTACTTTGGAGCTGGCGAGGGTGGCAGGGTGGCGGTGACGGACGTCTTGTTGTACAACCGCCCACTGAGTGCCACTGAACCCAAATTGGAAAACGACACATCTGATAGCGGTTCAGATGACTCGAGTGAAGCGGACAGCTCCATGCGTGCGGATGTGTCTCGGGTGCTGCTACTCCTGCTGCTGCTGGGGCTATGGGGCTTTGCGGCCCTCTCCTGAGTGAAACTCTCTTTGAGGGGATCCTGCTTCCGTCGGGAACACATGCGTTTCTTCACGCACCCTCTGAAGTATATAAATTATCATGTGAATTAGCAT